CACTCAAAGACTGGTTCAGAGACGAAATGCAGAAGAGTGATTGGCAGCTTATTGTGGAGCTGAAGAAAGTATTTGAAATCATCTAATTTTCCCACATGGGACAGAATTTGGAGTAAAGTAATATTATGCTGTGATGTTACCAATGGAACAGACGTACTTGGATGCTGATGGACTTAGGTGTATAAAATGTTTTCCATGAGAAACCAAGCAACTTACACTGGTTTGACAGTGGTCAGTTCCCCGCCTCACAGTCCAGTGTGCCTGCACTCACCCCCCTCAAGACTTGGCTGCTGTTTTAAAGTTTGCCCTTCCTCAAATTTGGATTTTTATTACAAATCTAAATCTCTTTCAATTTTATACTGATTAAATCAGTCCTGCAGTATTTGATTAACCAAGCTTCTACAGATTTTGTGATTCTTGGGACTTTTTTGATGTAAGAAATATCTTTATGGGTATTCTTTCCACAGTGACGTCCCCTACCCCCATCCTCAGCACATGCCCTTAGAATTTTTTAGATTTAGGCAGTCTGCTGTTTCCTTATCTGTTTGTGTGTGCAACCATGGTATAAAGAATAGCTGGCTGCCTTTTACTCCTTGTATGAGTCATGAGAGATCATTGTAGTCATCACAATTCCAAACTGCCAATAAAGACAAGACACTGCAGCCCAGTAAGCTAGGCTTCCATGTTAGTGTAGTGCACACCCTCAGCACGTGCTGACATGCCCTAGGAGGGGCAGCTTCTGTAAGTTAATTTTGGTCTATTTTGTTTTAGTACATTCCATTGTTCTTCTGCATTGTTAGCCCTCACAAGTGGTTTATTCGCAACACTCTCATGACTATACCTAAATGTGTTTATTCCTGAGGAATGGGGGTCTAAATGATCCTCCAACATCCTTTCAAGAAACCTGTTGTAAGAAAACTTGAGTGTTGGAGATATTCACTACAGTGGAATTTCAGGTGTTATGACAAGCGTACATGGAAGAGAGGTTATGCATGTTTGAAAAACTTCAGGACATAATGTATCTGGACTTGTGTCTGTGGAAATCAGGAATAAATTCCAGGCCAGGATTTTATTAGTTTTCCTGGTTCAAAGAACTACTAAAATCCTGGCTGGGGTGGCTCAGCAATGTCAAAACTTTTGCACACAGCCTGCAGCAGGCTGGCCTGGAGGTTTTTCAGCCTTTTAAGTATAACAAATTGTTGCTAGTTCCTAGAGCTGAGTTTTTTTTTGTTGTTATTTTGTTTTTAAGGATTCACAAAAAAAAAGCCTGTACAAAATATACATACAGTTCTTTATTAAACAACTGTAAACACTTCACTGTAAAAATCCATAAAACTTTATAAACAAATGTTTTGTAAATAGAATCTATGCTACAAGTAAAAGAATTAACACAATTATTTACATGCAATACTGACAAATTTGGCACTTTTTGAAAAGAAATGTACAAAACACTTGCTTAAAAAGAAATTTAAAATTATAAAAACTCAGCATCACTATCATGCACTTTGCAAATACCTCACAAGCACTGCTGGCACAGCTAGCAGAGAGCACCAGGCTCTCTGGAACGTTTAGGTAACTTTCAGTGTGCTTCCATAAGTCTGTTGTAAAACCACCTGAACATTGTCAAGAATAAAGTCAAACGCCATGTTCCAAACTGACTCCACCGACTGCTGCATCAGCCTGGAGGGGAGGAAGATGACCACCATTAAAAAGGTAACTCCAACACATATTCCTTTTTCCTTCAGACCTAGCTTCATGCTTGCTGGGTTTTTTTTGGGTTTTTTTAAATTATTTTAAATTTTGTACTGGACAGGGTGACTCTCAATCTCAGTAATGAGAGAAGAAAGCTACTGAATAAAAGTCAAGATAATAAATCTGGTTTTGGATTAAAAAAAACAAACCTAGTTACTCATGACTATTGTGTATAACCTTGGGAGTGGTTGTTATATTTTTAACTTACTACCCTGTCAACATGTGCCATTTTCTTCTATAGTAGGGACTGGAAATTTTAAAAAAAATTAACCCAGAAAGCTCAAAAAAACCTTTTAACAAATTACCTTTTCATGTATTTTATAACTAGATCTAATTTTTCCAAATCTTTTTCCTCTATAAGGTCAGTGCAGTATTTCACAACTTGCAGGATGTCTTCTTCCATTGGATCTAGAAAAGTGGAAAACCTCAAATGAGGACCCCAATGTAGTTTTTAGCGAAAATCAGAAATCTGCAGTTAACTCTTAACCCCCTCCCCCCACCCCAATTTACAGCTATCAAAGCAAGTCTTACAACTTTGGTGAGAACACATTAGCGTTAGGAAAGTGAGCTAAAGCTGTTGTGATTGGTTCATGTTCCTGAATCACAGAACTATAATATTCAGCTACTAGATGGGCCACACCAACCTGAGATAGTAGTTATCCATTCTTTGAGCAGGGTCTTCACATCACCGAACTCAACAGCTCCAGCTAAGTTAGGTGCTGTTGGTCTAACACAGCTGGATTGGTTGAGCTGCAAACTAGAGGGGTTCTGTACACCAGACGTGGAAGCAGAGAGTTCTTCCTGTTGAAAGAAACATCGAAAAATGCTGTATTTACACAGTGTCAAGTACATCAAACTCTAATAAATGTCCATCAGTATTTTTTCCAGTTACCAGGGGTCTCTCAGCAGCCGTTCCTTCATGTTTTATAAAACCGTCCATTAACTTCTGGGGGCTCCCATAGGCTCCTGGCAGAGTTTTTGCAGGACTGCTAAGCAGCTTATTTTTCAAAGGGCTCTGAACCTTTCTGGGAGAAGCAATGGGGTTCTTCTTCTTGTTTCTCTTGTCTTTCACTGCTGGTGGCTTTAGCTGAAGTAAAGGATTCTTCGGCACTAAAAAAAACCAACAGGTATGATATCCTCACAATGAGTCTAGACAATTCATGGTTCTCTGTCCTTACAATACAATCAACTAAGAGGCCAGAAAGGCAGTGACTGAAGGCTAGGCTCTAGAATTCCTTCCAGCCCAGCTATACAACTTAGTACGCTGACCTTGGATGTGCTGTGTATGTGCAATGGAGTGGTTCTAAAGATGAATTTTTCTTAGTCCTCAGGCTTAAATGTGGTTTCATGACTCATGCCCAGAAGTTGAGATTTCATGTTTTGAATCAACATTCTTTCAAATCTACCTCTCTCAAAGGACAAGTAGCTTGACATGTCTAAAATGTGAAGAGTCAGTTCATCAACACTAGTACTAACCAGCAAGGACTATCATCACTTCAGATTCTCCAGGATGAAGAGTTAGAACTAACGCGATGACGCCATCACTCTAGTCTTTTTTGTGACTTATCAGCTGTCTTACCAGACATACTGGCTGGCTGCTGATGACCGGTGTCCTCTCCCTGCCTTTGTCTTTGGTCATATGCTGCTTTCAGCTCCTTCTGAAGCTCAGCAGGAAGGGCAGCAAAGACATCAGGGTCCACCTGATAGGAAGAAAAGTCACACCTAAGTGAATTGGAGATAGTGGCTAAACTGTTTTAAAATCACTCTTAACAGGTCCTTAGGTCCTTTAACAGCTTAACTTCCAAAAGATCACAGAAATGAGGAATCATGTTTGTATGCTAACTTATCAAAACGAGATAGTTACAAAAATGGGAAGCCAAGAACATGTGAACACAGGGTGTGCTACTCTCCTTTGTGCATCTCCACCCTATTATGTGACATAGTGATCTTCAATGGACCAATAAAGTAGGCAAAGAATGTGTTTATTTCTTCTAGATACTTTCAGCAACCTCCCAGTTCTCTTCCCTCTGGTGCTAACTTGCCTACTCTAGGAAAGGGCCAAGTGGCCAACCAGTGCTGCAGGTGTATATATGTACCTAGGTGGTACATACAGTGCAAGCTTCTCAAGAATAGGTATAGAAAAGAGGAAAGTGAGAACTGAGCTAAAGTAGGACAGGTGAGAAAACTAGGACATTATTTTACTTGTGAAAATGCTGGAAGGGCTATGACGTTGATTCCGGTGTCACTATTAGATTCTTGAGACTCTGGTATTTGTAACAGAACTGTGCCAACAGGATGTGGCAAGACCCCTGAACTGCAGCCATTTACTGGTTCTTTCTTCTTGGTACCACGTGGCTCTCCTTGTTGAGCAGCATAAACTTGTTGTATTTGTTCCCGGAGATCAGGTGGAAGTGCTTCTAAAACAGACTGATCAATCTGTAAAATACCAAACGTGAACCTGATGCTCAGAAACGAAGATTTGAGGAACAACAAAAGTGCAGATCACCAGCCTTCAAAAAGACCCCTCCCTGCCCAAGCTATCTTGATATAGATACTGCTGTTGAAGCCTGAGGTACCAGAGTCTGAAGGTGAGTGTACTTTGGGAGCCAGTACACACAAGGACGTCCACAGAATACCTTGCAGGAAGAACTTGCCCATAGAAAGGGAATAGAAAAATTCAAAGTTACCATATACTAAAAAGGCATTACAGAATTCCTTGCTCTTTTGACCAGTCCTTCCTTCCTTGTCATCATCAAGGGAGATCTAATGCAAGCCTGAGAGCTACCCCTTTCACTAGACCCAGAAGCAGCATTTGTACCTATTTCAGCTTCTCTCCATGCAAACAGAAGCAGAAAAGGCGGTAGGATACCCATGACAAAGCATAAGGCAGACTAACTAGTAAACAAGGAGACCTGCAGAAATGGGAGGGGAATGAGTGAGAGCACTTAACAACACACACGAAGATGACTTCGTATGCCAACCTACAGACTAGAGAATACTGTTTCTATTCTTTAGCCAGTTTGGTACTTAGGACCAGAAAACATACCTGGGATGGGGATGGGACCTCTATACTTAGATTAAGTCTTGACTGTCCACTGACAGGAGAATGCAGACCATTCCATTTCCTTGAACACTCGCCTCTGTTAGTGTCAGTATTGACACTAGCTGCCAGATGTGTAGAAAAGGGTGATGACAAAGTACAGGCTCTAGAGGCAGAGGATGTTTCCAGATCCACAGCAGCCAGAAGTACTACGATTATAGAATAAAAATAAAATAGCCTCTTTAGCTCATCTGAGGAAAACACAAACAGGCCCATACCCTTCCCCCATCACTGAATTCTGTTTCTTGTGAACATCTTTTTTAGATTCATAATTTAGAATGTGTTTAACTTGTTAAAAAGAGGGGGTGATTTAAAATGGGACTGAAATGAGCATCAGCATACTGATGTCTACTCACCTTCCTTGTGTTCCTCTGCTGTGGGTTTCTTAGCTTTCTGAACTTGTAAGAGATCATGGACAGAATGTGATCTACCAGGGTAGAGGCTTGATTGAACTGATGGGCGACTTAAACATGTGGAAGGATTTGCATTAGTAGGAACCAACTGATTCACTTGAATCCCAACCTAGAACAAAAATAAAGAGAA